CCGTGAGAGGAAATTACTTTTTTATTATTTGATGGCACTGTGCACACAAGTTCATTTCTCAGCATTATCCCATTAAGGGAGATCTGGCCAACAGCTTTTCAACACTCCCCCGCATCAGGACAAATTTCCATCATGGAGTTCTGATGAGAGATCCGACAGCCAGTTTGTCTTCAAGCTTCTCCTTGACAGCCAGGAAATGAATAAGTGCAAATACTGCATAACTGCACTTCCAACTCTGTAACGCTTACTTTTTACCTTCTGTTTAAGTGGGTTGAAAACCCAGGTATTCAGATAAAATGTATAACAGTGCAGAGACTTGGGAGCACTTTGACACAACAGCTTTTAAAGAGCGCACGGACCAGCACTCTCAATTTCTCAGAAAGCCCCCACAACCCACACTGCACATGTTATGCCCTCTGGGAGGGCTGATGCAAGCAACCCTCTTTCATCCTGTGCTGGGAAGTGCCAGGGCTCCAAACCTGGCCCTGCCAGCAGCCCTGTTGGATCAGGGAGCAAGGAAAGGACATAATGAGCCTCTGGCTGCCAATGAAAGCTCACTCCCGCTACATATGTGCCAAAAACTATTCCTCACTCTACAGCTCAAGCCAGAGAGACATGAAAGCAAGGATGTCCAGAGAGACAGTGGCTGCCAGACACTAGCTGTGATTAATCCCAAGAAATTTGGGAAGAGTCAGAGCCATATTCTAATGATACACAATTATTGCCTAGACGTGGGCAGGAGGGAAGAGGATTTGTGTTTAGGTAACTGTCTCCTTGCTCCACCTGAACTGTGAACTGCTGAGACTGTTGCAGACACACTGCTGAAATACAGCAACTTGAGCTGATTCTAGTTTGGACATCAGTTTTAAAGTTCTCATTAGCTATAGAGAAAACTGGTCTCAGCCTTCATGATGGTGATAGAGGTGCTGGCAAAAGGGAACACACTCTCGCTGCTAACCAGAAATGGATACTGGTATTTCCAGTCCTTCTTCTGAGACTGTCTTAACTTGCAAGAAGGCAACGATTGAGATTCATCCTTCATCTTTATAACCACTACTGGAGAAGAAAAGAGGGGGTGAAAAACAGCGTTTATAGTCTGGCCATGAAATTGTTTGCTCCATAAAGTCAGCAGTGTTTCAGCTTTCCAGTTGCAATGAGAAGTGATGTCTACAGTAACAATTTATGATAAAACATCACTGGGGAGAACCATGACCAACTCGTTTTCTGCCACTTTTGCAGGATGTTCTACCAGTGCACTGCTTAACTAGCCCCAACAAAAATGCACTAATTTAATTTCAGCTTCTTAATTGCCACTGTTAACCTATTGCTTCCTGAGACTTGCACTGCTACAGCATGCCTACATGCATACTTTTCTGTGCCTGTAGGCAATGCTGTTCTCAGGTGGCAACAGGCATCTGTTTTATCATTTCTTGGCAGCCAGAATACTGCAAGTCTGGAGGAGAATCAGGCCCTCCCTTTGCTTGGATAGCAACTAGAGCACCATTATTTGAGGAGGGAAAAATTGCCCAAAGCTGTGTTGAAAGCTCTTGTCTTTATTAGTGAAAGTATTAATGTTTCCCAACGTGCTCTGGATTTATAGTCAAGTATTTCGCCTTCAGTTTGGAGTTGCTTGTAAAAGCTGCCTGCTGCAGAAGCTGGGGTACGGCCCTACGGTTTGAAAGATGTCCTCAGGCTGACTGGAGTTAGAGCCCTCATTCTTCTCTAGAGGGGAACAAGTTCATCTGTGAAAAGTAAGAGAACCTAATACAGAGATTAACACAGATAAATACTGTCACCATTCCTCAGAAAGGTTGAACGTCCTAAAGTCATATGGTAGGAATCAAAAAGACTGGATCATACCTAAAACGTAACGCGTATGAGACCAAGCTCCTAAGCAGTTCTAGCCATAGACCTCTCCATCAATTAAACAGATTGCTGCCTACTTAGACCTGGAGCTTACTTTTCAGCCTGGAGAGAGCAGTGATAGCCAGAAGCGAGGGCAGAGCTGCAGCTAGCCCAGGACTTTAAGCCATCTGCAGTTAAATCTCATCCGTAGTCCACTGGTAGACTGATTTGAATGGGAGGAATGGAATAACATAGGTAAGTAGCTTTGTGAGTAATGATGCCAAGATCTGGCCTTCTAGATGTAATACTTTAATCTGTCCAAGTGTATCACTGCTGTAATTACAGCCACAGCACAGGTCTTGAGTAGCTCCAGATTAGAGACCATTGATAATCCCAGCTGTGTCACACAGATGAAAGCTAAGTGGATTTACAGAGGACATGAGGTATACAGAGACTCATTATTTTCCCACTGAGACAAAACTATTCATTAGTATATGACAGAGAGCACTCTCTGGAAAACTGGAAGTGGGTTATTGAAAATGAGCATATCCCAATAGTCCTAACACATACGTGATTAACTGGTTATTAATATTCAATCCAGCAAGCTCTGTCACTAAGGTTGAGTCCCATTCCTGATGGTATTTGTAAGTCTGCACGCCCTTATGCTGATCTGCAGCATAAGAAAAAGTAACTCTAAAATCCAGGATCACATTGCAGTCAGTGCCAATTTCAGGCAGGAGGGTGTTGATTCAAGTTCACACACGCGAAATCAACAGGAGAGTTCATTTTAAAATGCTACTTCAGACATTCCCACTGCAGCTGATACATTAATTATGCCACAGTTTTATTGATTCGGTCTTTAGAGGCTCCCTTGCAAAATCTTCTTGTGCGAGCAATTACAGTAAGCAACTGCTCTGGTTTGAAGTGGTTTCGCTGCACCTGCTGTCCCCAGGCTGTACTGGTTAATTGTTTTTGTTTATCCCACCCTACTCTTCTCTAGTGATTTGCTTGGCACCGCAGAGACAGCTCACACCACTCATCAAGTGCTGTTTATTCCTGGCAGCCAGAAGTTGAAGATGTGCCTCTTTTCTTGCTGTGAGCTGCAGCCCACTTAAAACAGCTGGAGGGGAAGCGAGCAGATGCTGAGCTGTGCTAGGAGGTCTGATTACCGTTGCGGCGTGGAGGAAAAGCAAGCACGCCAAAAACATACCTGTAGTTTGTCCCAAGTCCCACGTCTGCATATTTACCTTTGAGAGGCATAGCTGGATGTCTTGTCTGTGCTTCAGGAGCTTTCCAGGAAAAATAACATGGTGAGAGTCCCTGTGTGTGCTGACCTCCCAGGACCAGGGATTAGGAGCTGCAGTTTTAAGGCTGCTAGTAAAGGATTTGGGCACTGAACAGCCTAACCGTGAAGCACCTGTTTTCTAGGGTGTGGGTAGAAAGAACAGGCATCTTATTTGAGGACAGGGAGAAGCCTCAGGTGGAAAGTCGCACTAGCCAGCCCACTGAGTCCTGGGAAGCTGTGGCACCACAAGGCTGAAAACACTGTGTGGAGAGATGTCTCCAAGCTCTCCTTCATTCCACAGATGAACAGAAAGGGAGGCAAGTGCTTCAATTCTGCTAGCGTTAGATGGAAGTCCTGGTACCTTGGGCTCCCCCCCTCCTCAACCGTGTTCTAAGTGTCCAAGCTGTAAATCACATAGCATTTTTCTAAAGTGAAGTGAACACAAGGCCAGAACAGACAAACAAACCCAAAACCAACATCAAAACATATTTGGCATTTCACTCTGGCGTGGAGTTGGGACTGGGAATATCTTTGGAGTCCTACAGCCTATTGGAGCAGCTTCAAATTGTGACAGAAAGCAAAGTTGTCTTTGAACCAGAAAACTTGTTGTGGGGAAGTCTCTACAGTGATACAGCATCCCTACGAATTCCAACATACTGTCTGGGCTGCCAGCAGGCAGACAGAAATCGAGTAAGGCAACTGCTGGGTTTGCACCAATGGAAGACATTTTTTACATTAGCATCAAAGGCTGTGCCTCATCCCTTCACTCATGTGAGTGTCATCTCTGCACCTGGAAATAGCTGCATGTAAGTACATAAATAATCCCTTCTGCTTCTTGTGGTGGATGTGGTGGCTCCTTGAGAATAAAGATGTCATTTTGGCAGCAGCTGTTACAAAGACCTAAGCAAAGGTACTTTAGTTGAGGTGCCGGTCCCACTTGCATGCTTTTCCATTCATGCATCTCAACCTTTCTTTCAGAGAAAAAGGAAAGGGAGGGAGGTTGGGTAAAGAATCACCTTATCACCATAAGCAGAAACAGTGAAAATCCTGTCACAGCACAGGCTCAGATTTCACAGGGAAACTTGGCCTGCAGGCACAGAGCATCACGATGGCCCAAGTATTTTACTGCTCTAGAGGTATGCCTTCTAACCAGCCCCCTCCACAGGTTTTCTGCAGCTTTCTCTGATGCTAACTGGCTGTATCAGAAGCTCTTATATAGCACCTCCTTTTTATTCCAGGCATTATTGAAAATGTCACTTCAGGAATGACTTCAGAGGAGGACTGGAGCTTGTAACACAGCTGTCTGCTGTTGAATGGTCACAGGTGTGGAATCCTTCCAGCTGGGAGAGCAGCAGTTAACTCATGCTGCCCTATGTCTAGAAAAAATGAACTTACTTCAGTGCAGTAATTTCAGATCTTTACTGCTGTAAAAGAGCAGAATTTGGCTCATTATCTAATAGCAAGTTCAATTCCCTTTGTGTTTCTATAGGGATTAAACACGTGCAGTCCAGGGGAGCCAGCCAGCATTTACAGGAGCTACTGTGGTGCATGCACCTTTACAGCAAAAGCTGTATTGGAAGAAACACAAGGTATAAAAACTCTCTTTCCTTCTTCCTTCGCTCCCTCTCTAGCTCAGTGCTCACACTGAAAGAGTGGTACAAAGGACTGTCACAGCTCTGGCAGAAATGAAGGAATGGCTGGTGTGCCATGCCTATGTCCAAGCATGTCCTGAAGTGTTAACTTAGTACAAAGAGAGGATATTTTTATTGATAAACATTATATTGTCTTAGTGTAGATGTCTGACACGTTATGAAATCAAATGACAAAACACTGAAAGCAATTCATTCTAATAAAACTTTTTGATATTCCATAGACAATAGTGCTGTGAATTTTGTTTATAGTATAACACATTAAAAACACAGAAATACAAGTTTCTAATCTCATAGGTTACCAGCAAACAGAGAAAAATGCATGCTTTAATTTCTGTTGAATTTGTAACTTACACAGGCAAGTGGAACAGCTATGCATAAAATACTATTCTACAACAAGCTGTAAAACAAACATACAGAAAGACTGACCTTATAATACTTGTACAAGTATGACAAAACCATTGTAACTCGTTTCAAAAGGTAACAAATATTTTGTCTGTGGCTCCACCATTTTAACATTTCTAAGCCGACTTAATAAAAAAGCTATTTTGAACAGAATTCTATTACCATAAACCACTGATTATTTTTTTTTCTGGCTGGCTGTCAATGAACATGATGCATTATGTGCATTTGTGCTTGGTTCCACCGACATTTTCTTCCTTATGGATCGAAGCATCGCACGGCCTTTGCACTCAGGAGATGCTGTTTGATCCTGAGTCGAACAGAAGGTGCTTGGTTTACTGACTTGTTCTGCTGTGCCTCCTGCAGCCTGACCACGCCATAAAGTACAAAACTCATGCATGCAATTCAACAAGGTCGGTATGGTTTCATCACAGTTAGTACAAGCTCATGTAGGGGCTGCATTCAGAGGTCCAAGACTTTAATCATGGTACAGTGATAAGTTTTCCATAAGAGCCCCAAGCAGCTACTGGATCTTCAATGTCCAACTGCTGGGCTATGAGATAACCTCTCCCCCAGCCAGCCCATGGACTGAAGAGAAGCACCAAGCCTGTTCTGCTGCTCTGGTGGCCACACCAACACCAAACCACTGCCAAAGCACACCCAGGGATTCCAGGCAACACACGACTTTGGCAGACAGCAGCAAAAACAAACAAACAAACAAAAAAAAACAACCCAAAAAACCCCAACCCCCCCAAAACCCAAACCAAACAAAAAAAAATAGCCAGAAACATCTTCCTCCTTTGGTTTCAGTCTCCAAACATTCAACGTGAGGATAATTTATTATTCCTTTGACCATCTTTTGCAAATACTGTCTGCATTAGGGGCCTGGTAATGGCTCCCAACTTGACAAGGAGAGACAATGAAATGAAACTATTTCTCAAGGAAAAAAGAAGCAAAATGTGTTCCCTCTATCAGGCACGGAGGCTCTTACTGGCAAGTTCACCCAAGCATTAATGGAAAAGACAAAATGCACACTTGTGAAGTGAGGGCAAGTGCTGAGCGAGGGACTTCATTCCTCGTGTCTCTCTTCCCTTCGCCCTGATAAAAGGGTGCTGTGTTTCTCACTGGGAAGAAACACCTTTCATCAGGAGGACAGGAGTTGTAAAGATAAACAGTTTTCACACAAAGCCCCGCATAAATGCAGCCCTGATGGGCTGATGGTTGGACTAGATGACCTCAGTGGTCTCTTCCAACCTCAGTGATTCTACCTATGAACCTCTGCAAAGCTTGCCAGTATCCCCACTAAACAGTAACCAGCTTTCTGTGATGCCACAGCACACTTGCTCTCCATTTGTGCTGTATAAATGCAGATTTGTGTCCTCTGCTTGCTGTGCATGTCGAAAAGCCCTTAAGAACCAAGTTATTCCACAAACTCCCTGCTTTGGCTTCTGTCAAGAATTCACTGTAGTCTTTTTGTAGTTTTGACTCACCAGTAAGAATTACTGAAAGGACTTTTCCCTGAAAATCCAAGAGGAACTCAGACTTATCCTTGACAACATGCAGAAGTTCGTTTCATGCAAATCTCAACGATGACATGAATGTGTATGAAAGGCTTATGCAATACTTCAATCAGCCTTCATCTTCTAGATGTTTATTTTCTAATCTAAGAAATCCACAAGTCGTTAGGAGGCACCACCAAAAATGACTCTACCATTGCTCTTTCATTTCCCAGCACTGAGCCTTACTGTAATTCAAATGGAAGGCAATGATACCTGATATATTCTACGATTGAGATCAACTGACCTACCTGAAAGCAAACAGCAGAGCAGAAACACGGCCGTGTCACATTTGTGAGTGCTGGGCTCATCTGACTGGAGGGTTTCAAGAGGGAGATCCTTGCTTTAGCTTAGGTGAGGACTGAAATAGGAGTTTTACTAATTTCACTGGTTTTTTACTAATTTTTCTTCTTTAATTTTTCTTTTCTTCTTTAATTTTTACTAATTACTAATTTTGCCAACACAGGGAAACACATGATAGAACCAGAGGCTCAGCTCCTACCGAAGGACAAATAAATAAATTAAATGCATAAACACCTCGGTGCACGATTTCCTGACCTCCTCAATATCTCTTCTTTTTTAATTATTTTTTAAACCTATCCTTACATTCAGAATACGCAACCAGAACTTCAAACGACTGAAAATAATTACAATTGGAAATACGAATGCAGAGCTATAGGCTGCTCAGGCTTCTGACCTGCTGCATTATAGACGTACAGCTCCTGTACACCATTAGCAGTACCTCGCTAATACAACGTGGAAGCAACTCAAAACTCATTAGCACCTCTTGTACTTATGAGCAGATATGTATGAGTATCACTGGGACTTAGCCCATGATAGGGCTTTATTCCCACAGAAATGGCAGACAGTGTCCACAGGGCTTCATTTTAACAATGGCAGACATATTAGCTATAGTATATATATACTTATTTGCTATTTGAATAGAATCTATGTTTATACATTAAGAAAAAAACGAGGCCCCAGATCCACCAATAAAAATTACATAACTTATGACTGATTCTCTTAACAAAAACAGTATACTGTAGTTTGGCTCCATAAAACACACCCAGCTCGTACCTATGAGGGTGGCTCTGAAAGTAATGCCTCCTATTTCACCATGCTGTCCCACGATGTCAGAGGCAGATGTTGGTGGGACGGCAGTAGAGGTTGAACCTTGCCACCAATGCCCCATTGCATGTTGTTGCCGTGTGACAGATGGCAGCAGAGGGGCAGCCTGACAGAGCGGCGTCCGGCATGGAAGCATGGATGAAGCCAAGGTGTCACCAAATTCCTCCATGTGGAAAAAATGGCACCACTGACATTCATCAACACTTCCTGAACATCGATGGCAGCCAAGCAGTGGCTGTGAGCACAGTGAGGGCTGGGTGGTGCACGTCAGCAGTGGTGCCAGCAACAGTGGTCACTTCCACTGGTGCAGATTTTTATGAGTGTGGCCTACAGGCTCTTGTTTATCACTGGTGAAAATGCACAGCTAATGGTGACAATGTTGAAAAATAGCATTTCGTAGCTGAGAACGTGCTCTATCAAACAGCATTATCGTACTCTTTGTTACAGTTTCCATGGGAATAAATAGGAAGCGTTACTTTCAGAGCGACCTACATAGAACCACCTACTCAGCTCAGTTATGTTTAGTGCATGATGAGTTTCACTCCGTAACAGAAATCAAACAGGGCTGTATCCATTTCATTCATTTTTGCAGCTGGCAGGGTGAGTACAGTATATTTGCAAGCCAGTAAGTAACGAGGGCACTGAAGATATACAATATCCTCACACACACAATTCCCTTTGAAGAGCCTTTTAGAAGGCATCCTATTAAAAGTCTTCCCTGCCCCATCATTTGGCTATTTTGGTGGCGTGGGGCATTGTAGGGCAGACTGTAGGCTTACTCTGTCTTGCAGTCTGGAGGTTCAAGTTCAACCATATGCCACACAAAGATCCCCTCGCATTTTCTCCCATCGATTTACCAGGTCAAAAACTACACCCTATTTCTGTTAGCCCAGGGTGCCAATTTTGTGTTAGGGAAGCAGGACAGGGGTCAGCTTCAAAGGCAGAGGGTTTCAACTTCTGAGAGGGGAAGCAAAATCCTGAATCCTTGTAACAAAAGGAGCAAACCAAAATCCTAAGCAAACTAGCAGGCTGTGGGGTTTACGGGATTGTTGACCCTTGAAAAAGACTTCATCCCACCTCCCAACATCTATACAGTACCTGTGCATCTCATCTCTATCACAAGTCCTCCCATACAGTGTCCTGGTCCCAGACAGATTTTCCCATCCAAATAACTGCTCTCCTTAAACAAACACCTGTTTGTTGCTTTGACTTTGAGCAGAACTCAAAGTCAGGATATAAAGCATGTTTTTGCAGCACAGTTTCCAACTTAATTTCGAGTGCTTGCTCAAGAGCAGTCAACAGCACAATTCTGTTCACATAGGAAGGTCCTGGAGGCAACCACACTTTGTGCCCCCAGATCTACTTTCCTAAACTGCATCAGTAATAAAAATCTTCTCAGTAGCAGCCTGCTAGCGAACAGTTTATAGAAGTTTTACAGACTTTTCAAAGTCACTTTCTGTATTTTAATCCAAGGCACGTTTGATACAGGCCCTCCTCATCAGAGTTATCTGCTCGTTAATCACACACAATTTCACCTGCCGGCCTCTTCAAATGGGAACATTTTGCTGCAGCTGCTCCTGATGAGAGCCTTCACTCTGAGTAAGTGCTGCTTTTGCTGAGCACTTAATGGTGATGCCAAAGAGCTGGATTCATTAAAATGAGCTTTGCATTGAAACACTTCAGCATGTGCTTATCTTTCAATACACAGACTTCTGCACGAAGTATGAGTTTCGAGTTAAGCAGGTCTCCAGTGTTTCATTGACAAAGGGGGGTACCAGCAGGCCCCTTCCTTCATTATAACACGAGATCAGATTAATGAAACATCCAGCAGTGGGAATTATTTTGCTGGGAAGCCAAGCTGCCTGCCTTATCTGCCAGATGTGCTGATGGGAAACCTCAAAGGCAAAAGCTCAATATCTGAATTAATCCATCATCAGCTACCACTGTCCTCATAGGTTCAGCCATGCACCGTTACACTTTGTTTCCTGCACCTGGCAAGAAAAAGTTGACGTGCAACTGTTGATATAAAATTCCTATGCTGATTTCTGGCACCATTTAAACTCTACCTGATGAATGAAGATTACACTGACAGGACAGCCGTCAGATTGTTTCAGTGTGGAAGTATTAAAACTTGTTCTGCGAGGCTATTAGAAAAAGTAAAATAAAACTCACCTAAAATATACCACAATAAATTTAACAACATAAAGACATTACAAAATCTGGAGCTTTATGCAAGTTGTGCTTTTTAAGAGGCTTCCCTGAAATCAGATGCTTCTGCCCTAGTTTCTGCCCTGATTTCAGCTGGGACAGAGCAGATTTTCTTCATAGTGCCTGTTGTGGGGCTGATTTGGTTTTAGGAGAAAAACAATCTTGGTAACACATTGAGGTTTACTTGTTGCTGAGCAGAGCTGTACAGAGCCACAGATATTTCAGTTTTTCAGTACTGTCCTGTCAGCAAGGAGGCTGGAGGGCACAAGAAGCTGAGATGGGACAGAACCAGGACAGCTGACCTAAACTGGCCAAAGGGATATTCCACACCATATGGCATCGTGTGAGAAGCCTATAAGGCTAAGAGCTGGTCGGGGGCAGCCACTGCTCAGGGACTGGCTGGAATTTGGCCATCTCACTGGGAGGCAGGGAGCGAGAGGCTGTGTGGTGTTTAGCTGCTTGCTGGGTTAAACCACAACCATTCCATAGAATCACATAGGTTGGGAAAGACACAGGCAGAAGATGATCAGATCCAACCATCACCTGACGTTACCAAGTCTGCAGCTAAACCACGTACCTAAGCACCATGTCCACACATCTCTCACACACTGCCAGGGACTCCACCTCCCTGAACAGCCTGTTCCTCACCACCTTTTGCATGGTCTCTAATCTAATCTCACCTGGCACAAGCTGAGTCTGCTTCCTCATGTCCTACCAGTTGTCACCTGAGAAGTGAGCCCTCTACAACCTCCTTTCTGGTAGTTATAAAGAGCGATGAGATCTCCCCTCACCCTCCTCCACACAAAACAATCCCAGTTCCCTCGATTGTTCCCTCTAGGTCTTGTTTTCTCGTCCCTTCACCGGGGATATTTAGCTTTGACAACTTGGCCATGATCTCAGGCTTATTCAGGGTGGTAAACTATAGATTTTAGAACCAAACTTTATCTGCTGGTGTTCAATGAAAGAAATTGCTATTATCTTCCCTGATTGCTTTCCTGTGAATAAAGAAAACTTTTCCATAAGGCATGGATTTGCCCACACCTGATATGGATTCTGGAGATTCAGTCCAACAACTCAGAGCAGGCTGGGTGGAAGTTGATGCACCTACAAAATACGCTTCAAATGAGAGGCCATTAAAGGCTTGCTACGAACAGAATATTCACATAGATCTCCTTAGAGGTGTCTAGCCATTAATAGGTATTCATTCATCTATTCCAAAAAGAAAACAAAGAGTTCATTCATCTTTACAAAGACACAGAACAACAGTCCTTTTCAGGACTTACTGCTGTGAATATGTATACTGACCCTGAAATAAATCATTGGAGTTTTGTTGTTACTTTCAGTAGAGGTCAGTTTTCACTCAATCTTACTTTAAGGCTTGCATTAGACTTGGGACACTCACTCCTTCTCTAATTTGAAGAAAAGTGGCTGAGGTCTTGTGTATACGTTCCTTAAAAACAGGGCTTTGAACCCACGTGGACAAATCTGTACAAAACATAACATGGGCCGACGTCCCTGGGCTTAACTCTGTTTTAGCACAACCTACATTGGTTGCTGACCAAGTGCAGTGCCATGAATACAGAGCAGTTTTAAATCCAGCTACGCAGGGTCCATTGAGACTGAGTTTTAAAGTACATATTTAAACAGCTTTAACTTTCCAGTACTAAAACTTTGAAACAGATACACCTGACGCTTCTGCATCTCAGCAAGCTTCAATGAAAGCTATCAGGGCTTTAAAAAAAATAATTAAATAAGAAACATTTGTCAGTCAGCAGAAAGTTAGCATTCTCTCAAAGGCTATCCAACAATATTCAGTCTACACTGTGTCTTATAAGCATTAATGTGGTTATTTGGAAAGATCATATAAAAATTGCTCGTCTGACAGCAGAATAGTAAATATTACCCTCAGGTTGCTCCAGCTACATTGAATGTTGCCGTTCTAAAAGACTGTTTGTTCTTAAGATAAAACAAAAAGCCAGTCATGCATCTTGAACGGTAAGGATGAGCATTCGTTTTCACAGGCACAAACATCACAAATCCAAAGCATGGTAATTAATTTCGATGACGTAGCTGTGGACAGGAAGCTGAAAACAAGGCAGGCAAGTGTAAACACAGAGGGGAAAGAAAAAACCCAAAACGAAACACCAATTACATCAGTGAAAATCTCTTCTCATGCACACACTTCAGATTGGTGTTCCTACAGCAGTAACGATCTACCAAAAAGTGCACTGTGTCAAAAAAGACAAAACATGATCATAATTCAGCTTTGGTAGGGACAAAAGCAGTTTCTGCATGCCTTAAGACCTCCCCCCTGTCATTCTACCTTTGAACCACCGTGCAAGGAAGGCACCGTCATGCTGAGCATGAGGGGTCACATTTTAACACCAGCTGGGACAAAATCAGGTTGGAGCGAGCTGAGGAAAAGGCTCTTTCATCTCCCTTTGAAACATTCACTAAGGATTGCCTGAAACCGCCAGGAATGGAATCAGAAACACCTGACTGGTCCCAAGACCAGAGCGGCCTCAAGCTTAAAGCTGACCCTTGCTTTTGGAAGAGCAAAAAGTGAATCCGAATCACTGCTGCGTTCCAAACCACATCTGAGCCCAGTGCCCCAAGCCCACGGCACTGCTGCCAGGCGTCCCATAACCTCCCTGCCCCACGTGGGCAGTCACTGAGGTGCTCTGTGCCCGTGTGCCTTCCCCCACGCAGCCTGCATCTCGGGAGGGAAAGAGCCCCTCTGCTCCATCAAGTAAAGCTATTAACACACCCTGCGTGTCAGCAGAACTGTCTGAGTTCTGGGTGGACGCTACAAAAATTGCCTAAGTTTTTGCTTTGGGGACTTTTCCACAAGCTAACAAACTGGACAGGCTCTCCTCTGTGGAGACAAAAAAACATTCAGTTGGTCTTTTCTGTTCCAAACCAGGTCTGCACTGGTCGATCTGGTTGCAAATCGTAAGCGCATCTCTCTGGAACTATCAGCACAGGAAGTGCTTATCACGTCGTTTATGGCACAGATACCGGCAGTCCAACATACCTTCTGCTTCTGCTCAGAGCAAACAGTTGGCAGAACATCCCTGCTCAATGCACAAGCTTCAAAAGAAACGTCAGGTTTCACGCGCAACACAAAGCTATGAGACGCTACAGTATTTAATGCACACCAGTAGGAAAGGCTCCTAAAAAAATACTCCTGCGGTTTTTGTGCCGTGGGATAGGTAACAGCTATTTCGTAGAAATAGATCCAACTGGCTCCATTGGAGCAGCAGTATAAATACTCAAAATAGAAGTAATAATAGGCCCCGTAGGCCCTGACGTGGAACTTTTGTTTTGTTTTCCCCCAAATCTGTTCCTTCTGTCAGCAAGGAAAACACTCTGCTTCCAAACAACTGCATCCTGCTACAAGGAGTATAGCTGTGTATTTGTGGGGTGGATTTTACTGAAATGTGCCACATCGTTGCTAACGTTGTTGCATTTGAGGAAGTACTTTAGGCATTTTAGTGGTTATTATTAATCTCATTAACACAGAAGGAAAGAAACGACCACACACACACAAAAAAAAAGCAACAAGAAGGTACAATGGGCTTCCTAACATGGGCACACTTATGAGAAGACTGCTCCAACAACAGGCTGCATGGCTCAACAGGTAGCAAGACAACTATTTTCCAGAATTAGCAGTGATACCACAGGCATGCCAATGGCTCTGTTCTCTGTCCCTGGGCCCACCCATCTTCTTGCCAGGGATCCACAAGTATGCGTTATTTGCTGAGGCCAGCAGGTCATGGCTTTTTCTGATGGACTTCTCCAATGGGCACGGTGCAATGGCTGCCAAAGGATCCACGCATTTAGCATAACCAAGAAAGAAAAGAAGGTGCAGAGCTGAATGGAAGCCACGGGGTGTAAATATTTTGATTTACATCACTCTGTTCCAAAGAAAAGTAAGCAGAAACAAACGTCCGAAAGTGAAAACAAATTGATAACTGGATTTATCATTGTGCATAGGACGGGTTTTTTTTTAAGTTTAGCTTTAAGTTTTTTTCTTTTGCTAAGGTTTAGGAGGGTTCTATGGTTTCGTTTCATGTTTTTTTTTTAAACCTAGGGTTTGCTATGTCTTTATTACCAATATTTGCCATTGCTTGTACCATAGACAAAAACATTCATCTAGTTGGTATTATATTAACACACTTGTAGTAGAACATACACAAGAACGGGGAAAAAATGAATCAGAAGTGATCAGTGCTTAAAGTAAATACAACAGCCAGCGCTGGCAAGAATCCACAGTATCAATACAAACAAATGTAGCCGTGGTAGTGTTCCTGATGGGGCTGGATCTGCCTGTGTATTAATACAGAATTATACAAAATCTAGCAAGGATACTGGAACAATGAATAGCTAAATTTTCACAATAACTTAAGATTTGTGAGCGAGTCTGCGTTGTAGATATTACACATTTTAAAAGTGCCATCTCTCTCTCCATCTTCTTCCCTCCCAGAGGAGGTGTGACGAATCCACATGATCTGCCATCAGAGAAGTTCAACTGTTTAAGAAAAAGACAAATATCTGGCCAGGTCCAGTGTATTCTTTGAAGAGTGGCAAACAATGACTTCAGTAACTGTGTCTGTGCAAAATACGCCTCTTTCCTTTTAAAGAAACCAGTGTCTGTAACTCATTTAGAAAAGTTTTGACACGTACTGATGTCCTCAGAACAAATAAGACGTGAACTATAGAATCCCCCCAAAACTACAAGAAATCTGATGAAGCAAATAAAGTTCTGACCTTCCGTTTCCAGGTGTAGATGACAGAAAAACAGGACGTCTCCTCGGTAGCCCTGCTGGGCTGGCAATCAAACTATTGCTTGGAAATACCACAAACACCCTATTAATAAAACGCCGACACCAATAACAAAATAGTAGCAGTGTTTATCCTTTAAGTCCGTGTTTACCTTCCATTCCTCATCACACCTGTACAGGATTCGTGATTTACGGTGCAGTCACTGTCTGTTGCCTTGACAGTCTTCTCTGAATAAGCAGTCAATCCACTCGTATGTTGAGTACCTTGAATTAAACTCCCATATTACACTGCCCTGTGACTTTTGGATCGTTACAGGAGACCCGGAGCTCAGAAGGAGAAGCTGCAACACAGGATGTTGATCTCAGGCAATAAAAAACCACAACCAAAACAAACAACAACAACAAGAAAAAAAAAAAGAAAAACACAACCAAAAAAAATCCCAGAATTCTCCTCGAAAATCAGCCCCTGTATGATGTACCCTCTTCTGCATTGTAGCAATAGTCTTTAAGACATAAATTAGATTAGTCTTCCATCAAATAACTTAAAAAAGGAATTGTAGCAGACCAGTTTTGCCTGGCTTGATGCCAGTTAGCAGCCAGTTCATCTAGAGACCAGTCACTGTCCAAAAACTGAGCTAAGAAATCACATGAATGTTGAAAAAAAAAAAAAAAGAAAAGAAAAAATATCATCTTCACATCGATGCAGGATTTTTTTCCAGGTTGTGGGGGTCAGGGAGAGGGTAAACCGAGATGGGGCACAGGTCCTATGGACAGGATATACTTCACGACTTGGAGGTGCACCGCTTTCAGGAGATGCCAGCCGTGGTTTGTATTGCACAGGTAAGAAGGACGTCCCTCCTGACAGTCTGCAATGTGCGTTAGTGATCTCTGCACATGGGCAAGTTCACAAAAGTGAAAACATTGAATTCTGTCATGATGGAGAAACACAGGAAGATGCCATACAGGGAAAGGCACACGCACCCTAGCTTCTTATCCAGTTTCCATTTGTTCATGTGCACGCCGAAAACCTACAATAAACACAGAGTAAGCCACCAGAGCAGGATCGGTTTGATAAAATGGTCAATCCTTTGTCAATTGCAGGAGCACGAAAATGACTGTGCCCACACCAAACACCATCAACTGGAAGCAGTTATAAGGTAGGCACTGCAACAAGTGAGCTAAAGCCCGCTGCTACAATCAATCTGAGCATCTCCCTCACAGAGCTTGGGGCCATATTGACTTGCATTCCCTTGACTGCTGGCCCAATGGCCTTGGGTTTCTGCAATGAATTTCACTTTGGTAATTCAATTGGAAGTGCTTTAAAAGGCTATACTCCCTTCTATTCACTTATAACACTTCCAGTGCTTCTCTGTCTCTCAATTTGGAGCTGAACCAGCTAAGGCTGTGCCTGAATTTGCTTAGTTTGCTTCAACACAAACCTCCTGCAGTTAAAGTGCAAGAGAAGTGTGCCAGTGTGCTGCATGGGGTGCTCCCTGCCATAGCAGCTGGTCTGGGGAGTTGGAAGATGACACAAGGATAAATTCATCCTATTCTCTTTGTTTTCCCTAGTCTATTTTCATGATGGACTTGGCCAGGTCAGGGAACAGGAGCCACTGCTTTCAATAGAAACACTGGCACATCCCAGCACAATTTGTTCTGGCCTGTGTTGTATCTTGGAGGGTTCTTGCACAGCAAAGTGTGCAGCATTTACTGTATCTCTTCAATAGGAAAATGCATCTTTTCATACTTCAAGGGATCTGATTCAATGTGAGCATGCTAAATGACTAGGGATTACTAATGGACTTGCCAGAGGTTATCCTGGGGAAAACATAAATACAAGAAACATCCTATGACAGTGATAGCTTCTGTCAAAAGCCAGATTAAAGTACTGGGAAGTTTACAATAGCAGCGACCATTTCTATCCCTTAACAACAGCCTTTGCAATCACAAGTGCAGCTGGAGGCGAGAAAAGAATCCAGTGAAGGAAATATCCATAAAATCACTCTTCTGAAAATAAAGGACAAAAGACTATGTACATACTGTGACAAAAACAGATGCCAGCAAGAGACCAACAGAATAGATGAGTCCTCTGCTGTTTAACCGGATCTGGAAAAGAAGGAAGTTTACAAAACCACGTCACAACTTCAAGCAACAATAATTCTGCCAATCATCCAGTAAACCTCAACTGCTGAACTGCTGGACTGCCTTGCAAGCTGTCAAAGCCAAGTCAGATCACTGCATCGTGGGTATTGCTAATGTAGTGATAAGCAGCACTGCAATGCTGTGATTGGCACCACGCGTAACTGCTGAAGCCCTCCTATCATTTTGTCTCATGGCCAGAGAAAAAATGCTGAACAACAAGCTGAATATTATTCCCAAATTCTAAGCAATTATTTAGTTTTGTTCCCCAAGTGCATCTGAGAGGAGAGTCTGACTTCCAGAGTGGAGGATAGGGTTATCAGTCCTGGCACCTTGCTAACCTGAGCCTGCAGTGAACACTCAGGAGCCTCTGTGAAAATCTGTGCTGGAGACAGGCAAGCATGCTGCAAAAACAGTGTGGGGAGGGTATCTCTCTTCACCTGGACGTACCATTTGGGGTGGGGATGGGCTGATGGTTGGACTTAGCAGTAGCTTTCAACCTTAATGATTCTATGTTCGGTACCTGTGCAAATGTGCAAATGGCACAATGGCCATTGGCTCTGAAAGGTACTGCTGTGTTTCATAAGCTGTAAATGTGTGTGTGTGTGCAGAGGACCTGATGATGTAGTCGTTACATGCAACATCCATACAGCACTCTCACCAGACTGACTGTCCAAAGAAATGAAAGATTTGAATTGCTTCAGAATGTGAAGGCCAATTTTGGCACTAACTGCTTAACTGAGGGTGAAAATGTCACGGTCCCACTGGTAATGTGAACTCCGGGTTCAGAAGGAAGCCTATTTCTGCAGCTATAGAAGTCTCCAAGGCCACTTCCACTTGCAGCTTCTATTACCGGTCTCAAGCAAACACTGAAGTTTTGCTGAAATAAGAACTGCTCCTGGGATGAGACATACACATCATGTTCTGACCCAGGAGATGCTTTTCTTCAATACTGTTCTCCCTGAGGAGCCAGGGCAACCTAACATTGGGCTCTGTGCACACATCAATGCTGCATGTACAGTAGGTCCTCTTCAGCTTCCATATGAATGGTCCACAGATAATATAAATGGTCCACAGAGGACAGCCGGCCTGTATTGCCATCTTAGTTACTCTAAAATGCAAATAAAACACAACACAAACCTACAAAGACTTCAAACACACTAACTTTGTATAACAAAAAACTAAAGTCACATCACCCCTACCCCAGACGAGCAGCAATTGTGCAGGAAAGACAGATGCTAGTCTACAACAAAGTCCCATCTGGATTTATGTCAGGAATTCAGCATGACCAGGGCCAATGTCTGTAAGAACTGTCAGTATGAAATATACCAATCGGAAAGGAATCTACAGAAAAAGGAAGCAAATGAAACAGACTGCATTATTTTAGCACAGAAAATGTCTGAATTCAAGCTGAGGTGCAGACACTGCTTCTCAGTGACAGCACCAGCCTCCACGAAGAGAACAGACACGTGGAAGGACGACAGGTCATCAGGCCTCTGACTGCAGTTTGCTGAGGATGCTGCTTCCAAAAATATTTGGGGCCGCTTTATTTGGAATATCTGCAAGGCCCCTCCTTGGAGGTCACTCATGGGAATAGCTGTTGCTGTTAAGAATTACCCAAAATTAAGAAACGTGCGCTAATTATTTAAGACACGTTGATGAATGTAACAGGAACATACGTCGTGCTGCTTATCCCATGAGGGCAAAGCAAACGGGGTAACCTCAGCAGCAGCGTGAGCACCGGCTGCCCCTTGTTGTGGTACTGCACTGAAAAACTCAAGTTTCACTCCAGGTGAACATTCTTCAGCTCTGGTTTTAGTTATCTAGCAATGTTCCTGGCCCAGCTATTAGCTATTAATTAACCTAAAAGACAACTTTCCTTTACGAGGCTTGGTCGGTCCTGCAGAAACAAAGGATTTCCTGGGAGGAAAGAAAGGCTGTTTTCTAATGCACTTCTTACTTTCTGCACCACAAAAATCAGGCTGTTTATTAGGGTCGCTGTCTTTTTTCAGATTACCTCTGGACAGTAGGATTAAAGTCCTTCCATGCACACAGTGAAGGGTGGTTTCCTTGGGGGAAAAAATGCTAGCTGAGGAATGCACTTTGTCCGGAAGCTCATTTGGCTGAACCACATACAGATCACAGCTGTACTTCGTGGAAGAAAGAATGAAACACTGAGTGCAAATCCTTGTCAATGAACTCAAAGCGTGATAAAAGCTGTGCAGAATACCAGAGGTGACTCAGGGGGTGATGTGTACACGGCATCTCCCTGCCATGCCACGGAACAGGCAGACAGGGCACAGAGCAGGACAAAGAACAGGCAATAAAGCAGTGAGAAGGCAATGAAAACCAACAGAAAGATAGAGCAAACTGACACTGATCTAAGCCTGTCCTCACAGCAGAGCTGCCCTGGGAAGGCTGTGAGCTGGTGTCCACGGATGGGTGCAGGGTGCAATTCCAAATGCACCAGACTTGGGAATATTGTGCAGTGTTAGTTCACCTGCATGCAAATGTGTAATTAGTATGGCTTGCTGACTGAGTGCAAAGCACCTATGCATAGTGTGCATAGGGCAATGGCACAGTTCAGCTGCTGTGCCGAGGGCCTCTGGCTTATTTAAGACAGCCGTGGAGCAAGCTGATTCACAGCAGTACGAAACCTCCCTCATAGCAGACACAGTTCCTGCTGAAGCCTGTTGCCCAGACACTTCTTCCTGAAAAGGTTTCTTGGAGCAATTCAGTGCTTTGAGATCCTCATATTGAGAAGACAACCAAAGCTATCTAGGTTTGTTCAGGTCAAAGATGCAGTAGTGCACTGGTCTCAGAGGGATATTTTTTGCTAAATATATTCAGTCCACTGAAGAAAGATTTCCTGGGAGCCAGCTGAAACTCACTGCCAAGCTTATTGGGGGGCTGCAGCCAGAGGGCTTGGAGATGTTCTCCATTAAGCCTTGCACTGGTGCTTCAGCAGGATAAAAGCACACATTCCCTTCTATCAGCTCTGCTACTGGGCACTGAGCTATCGAATTCTTGCAGTAAGAGTAACCAGAGGCTCTGCCAAAGCTCTTGGCTAGCCAATGTCTAGCTTTAGAAGTAGAAAAATAATGGAAGCCTTCAAACATTAATAAAAATAATGTTTGTTTCCAACAAATGCTGCTGCTACTCATCTAATACCAGCAAAGAGAGCACAAGCTTTCAAATGTGCCTGGTTCAGATTTGCTCCAAGCATGCTGGGCTTTGGAAAGCAGTGCCACTAAATAGTGCACAGCAAGCGCTGCTCATCAGAGGAATGAGGCAGGTATGACAGCTTCCCAGTTTTCTCCTGCTTGATAACACAGTAGAGGTTTTCCTGCAATTCCCTTCTATGTAGGCCTGCACTGAAGCCACCTGCCCACAGCAAAGGCTGCAATCACAAACAGCACACAAGGCAGCACGCTGCTTTAACTCTCGCTCCAACCCTGGCGACCTCTCAAATTTTCTCATGCAATGCCACTTCACCTCAAAAAGAAACACAAACGGTGGAATGCTTTATGTAGCCCTGATCAATGGTTCTGAGATACTGTTACATCCAAATTAGGCTGAATGGCCACTATTCACTTACTTTTTCCATTCTACAGTTGACTACAGAGTCCTTCTGCAGTTGGTTCTGGACCACCTGCACCTTTTCACAAACCTCCCATAAACTACAGCTCTGGAGTTGCTGTTTTGACTGATGAACTACTTCTGCTTCACTGTTGTTCCATTCAGCCTTTTAACTGTGAGTGCAGGAGCTCAAAAGACTCTGAAATCTGGTACAAAATCTTAAGAAAAATGTGTCCTTGATCTGTCACATCTGGGTACAAATCAGCCAAGCACCCTTCTCAAAGACACGTGGCATTTCCTCAAGTCTGTGCAATGCCTTTCCTCAGGGTACATGACCACATACAAGCCTGGCGAAAACAATACTAGAAAAGCTTCAAGACTCACATGAAGGAAGGAGATTTAATTCCAGGTTTAGCAGAAAACAGGGCATCAGCTGGAATCTTCTTAATTATGGAAGTAAAGGCTCAAATCTCAGCTCAGACATAGGAAATGCTTCTACTCTAGGGAAAACTTTCTGCAAACGAAGTGCTTGCTTGTACTGCAAGAAGGAAAAGTCAGCATTCCCGAACTGTCCTTTGAGGCTTGGCTTGTGTCTAGCAGCTGAAGCGAGCCAGAAGAACTCTGTTTTGACTGATTACACATGAAAGGCTTGCAGAAGTTCAAATCCTACTTTGTCTGCATTTAAATTGAGGCTATCTCCCTGCATCCTGTGTAAAAAACATGAAGGTGCTGTCACCAACTCCTGCTCTTCCCAGACAGCTCTTGCAGGCAACAAGAAACTGAGGGTAAAGCTAAACAGCAGAGGAAAAACAATGGAAATAAAATCAATGTAATTCCATTCTTCAGTTTTCCTTCAGCTCCTGGCAGTTGCTGAAAGGAAAACAAGGAGCTGGTGCCAAAAACCAAACTGGTTTTGCTCCAGGGCTCAAGTATGAGAAAAATTACCTCATTCGGGAATATTAAAAGGACTCTACTATGCTTCCAGTACCTCGGTTGCAAAAGTCACAGGTCCCAAGTCTGCTTAAGTATCCTTTTCCTGCAGTGCTTTTGCCAGACAGTGGAAAGTCAGAGTAAGCTCCTGCATTGCCCAGGTCTTGCCATGAGACAAAACTGGAACTCCACAAATTGGAAATTCAGACACATACTGCATTCCTGCATGTTTCAATGGCATTTCCTTCCCAGGGCTCTTTTGAGACACCTGAGAAAGCATTCCTGCTTAGCTCCATCACACCACTCACTCTGCAGAAGGTACATACCCTGGAGTACACAATGTGGAGTGCTGTGCATAGACACTGAAGGTACTAAGCAAGAAATGCAGAAGTTATGGTTGGAGGAAATTCCTCTGCTGTTTGGAGATTTAGAAGGGATCAGATACTTCTGCTTTGATACAGCATCATCATCCCTGTCTCCCCGGCTGGGGAGCAAAGGGATTCAATAGATGCAAAGTACTCCAGAAGCTTTGGAGATATTAGATATGAGCCTCAGTGTCCACCTGCTGCCATGCCCATCTTCAGGCTTTTGGGATCTGCTAATAAATTAATCCATTAATACCTGCTGAGTTGCACACTGCTGCTAGAGTAATTGCAGCATATCACATTGCAGATGCAACTGTGAAAGGTAGAAAGCTTGCTTGCTCAAGTTACTTCCCCTGAGTGTCCACTTACCACTGGATTTTCTCATCTAGGAACTAGAGTTCCCCCACCTCCTTCTGTGGATAGACCTGAATACTCTTACAAATGCAGACATGAACAAATGAGCCCGGATGCTTACCCTTAAGCTAAAATTCCTGTTCCCTAAAATACTCCTGGCTCATGTCTGTTTTAATAGCTTCAGATCTTAAAAAAAAAAAAATATTCCAGAAGGAAGCAATTGGATACAACACACAGAGCAAATGTCCTCCCACTCTGGATTTGCCGGGCCACTGGGGAAGGATTCTTACAGGGTTATAGCCTCAGTAACATGTCCAGGACTCAGAGCTGAGATGAGAAAACAAACTTTTTCAAAGGCCTGTCTGGGTCCAGAGGGATGCTGCTTTATTTCCAAAAGCCTTTCTGGCATGCTGGCCCAGCCACAGTTGATATGATGAGGCCAGAGCTGCAGCAGGAGGGCGGCCAAGTGACTGCTGAGTAACAGTGACAGAAGCTCCATAGGGAAGCACAACCAGCCACAAGCTTGTAGGCTGTGCCTCGACCAAAGCTCACTGCCTCCAACCAAAACGCACCGTCTGTGAAAACGAGCTCTGAAACATCCATGCCTTTTTAGGGAGCTTAAGGAAGGCTCAGACCCGAACTCTTTGTACAAAAGGTGCCACAGCAGACTGCTCTCCATGTGAAGAACCCCACAAACCTCCTGAGGAGCTGCTTGGCTGGCTACAGCACGAAGCCACTTCCCTCACGTGGCTGAGGAAGGTCAGGAGGCGCACACTCACAGGACACCATGCTGTGTTGTGCTCGTGCACACTGCAGCACAAGGAGGAGAAAGGGAACAGACCCTGTCCTCCTTTTCAGCACAGTAACATGTAGCAGAGTTCTGCCTTTACATCAGCACAACAGGGAACACAATTTGGCCACAGGGAATTCTAACTCAGGCAGCCTGAAATAAGAGATACCTTGGCAATGGGATTTTACAGTGTGATGTTCAAGAAGGCCCCGAGCATTCAGCCTTTCACAACAGGAGGGCTGTTGGGTGCACATGGGAAGCTCTTCTGTTTTAGAGCTTAACTTTGCAATCAGGCGGTCTACTTTTCTTCTGGCTTCCACAAAATATATCACTGCCATAAAAGCTTCTCTCTTAAAATGCACTGACACTATTTTCAGCAAGAGCTTAACTTTGGTACAGTCTTCCTGCATCAGGGAGGAAATATTTGGGTGGCTGCGAAAAAGTAATCACATTCAAGCAAGTGCTTGGCTTTGGGCTGTTTTCTTAATCTTTACTTTTAGAAAGCTCTTTTCCCTTTGTACACAAGACAAGAGAATCACAGTTACAATTACCATGCATGTGTGCATGTATGTGGGGTGGTGGAGATATGAAGTCTGCTTATCCAAGGATTTGGAGGGAAACACAGAAATCGTAAGTGAAAACTAAGAGAACCCTGTCTGCTAATTGTGGGACTGTTTCCAAGGCTGTTTTTACTACCCACGTGATTGCAGCATACAATGAACATTTTGGGTGTGCAAAACAGTAGCAACATTGTTGTGTCCCCACGAAAGCTGGCTGCCTCTGCTCAGTGACTTGTTCTCATTCTTGTCAAGGAAACAAACGTTAACGAATGTAGATGAGCTACAGATAAGTTACTCCTTAGAGAAAAGGATTTTATTCCTGCAGCACTGCTTGCTTTTGTCAGTCCTATATTCAAGGAAGGGAAGGGGGGTAAACAAGGAACTGCATGCTGCCTCACTAACACCTGGGAAGGTGATGAAGTAAATAATCCTGGGAATGATTTCTAAACATATGAATGACAAGAAGGTGATTGGGAGATGAAGGGGAAATTGTATTTACCCAGCCAAATACCCTTCTATGACAAGATGGTTGAGGTGGACTTGTTGATCTCCCTTCATACAAGTGTTAATTGCACTGACTTTTGACACTGCCTCTCCTACACCTCACAGCCAGAGGAAGAGCAGATTAAATACACAGGTGATGGAGAGGGCTGTTAGAAGATGAACTGCTGTGTTCAAAGGTTGTGTTCAGCTGCACAGCATCCAGCTAGAGGCCCAGGGGTCAATATTGTTTCACACCTTCAGTAATGGCATGGATGATGGGCCAGAGGACAAACCTCGGCAAGTTTGCAGCCAATACAGAACTGGCTGGAGTGGCTTGAAGCACCAGAAGGCTGGTGTCTTCACCAGGGACCCCGAAGAGGTGGGAAAATGCACTTCATCAACATCAACAAAGGGAAATGAGAAGTCCTGCACCTGAGAAGGAAACACCTCATGCACCAGAACGCACCGAAGCTGATCAGCTAGAAAGCAACTCGGCTAAGACCTCCTGGTCCTAATGGACACCAAGAACAAGCCCGCAATGCACCCTTGTGGCAAGCAGCACCAACAGCAGCCCGGGCTGCCTTCGGAGAAACCTTGCCAGCAGGTGGAGGGAGGGCATCCTTTCCTCTCAGCACTAGTCAGACACATTTGCAAAGCTCCCAGTCTAAGGGAGATAGCAACTCATTGGAGAAAGGGGATGTAAGGATGACTTAAGGGCACTGCAGCAGCTGAGAGTCCAAGAGAACTGGGACTGTTCAGCCCGGAAAAGAGAAGGCTCGAGGGCATCTTCTCAGCATGTGTAAATACCTGATGGAAGGGCATAAGGAAGGTACAGCCAGACTCCTCTGAGTTGTACCCATTGAAAGAGCAAGAGGCAATGCACACCATTTGAAATGCAAGAAATCCCATTAAAAGAACACTTCTAGCTTTTTACTGTGAGGGTGGTTAAAACACACAGCTGAGAGAGGCAGTGGTGTCACCTCCACCCTCAATGATATTAAGGAATCAACTGGACATGGTCCTAAGCAACCTGCTCTGGCTCACCATGCTTTGAGCAGAGGTTCCAGGCCTTGATAATCTCAAGAGGTACCTGTCAAGCTCAAACATCCTGTGATTCTATAGTCCTAACTTTACAGTCAGTTAGTGATTGATAGGACCAGGGGGAATGGTCTTAAACTGAGACAGGGAGGTTTAGGTTAGATATGAGGAGGAAGTTTTTCACCCAGAGGGTGGTGAGGCACTGGAACAGGTTGCCCAAGGAGGCTGTGGATGCCCCATCCCTGCAGGCATTCAAGGCCAGGCTGGATGTGGCTCTGGGCAGCCTGGGCTGCTGGTTGGTGACCCTGCACATAGCAGGGGGTTGGAACTGGATGAGCACTGTGCTCCTTTTCAGCCCAGGCCATTCTGTGATTCTGTGATTGCAAAGAAGAATCTCTCCTGTTCTGCTGAGTGCGGTCCAGCTAAAAGCAAATGCTGCATCCCTCTGGGATTTCATGGTGTCTCTTGTTCTATCTCAGAAGGGAGCTTCCAGCAATTCTGTGCATGGTGTGCATCTGCCATCCTTTGGGAATTACCTAGGGGTTCCATTAGTTTTGGCTAGGTTTTCTCAAACAGTAGAGCTGTGCAGTGTTTCCAGACGGTAATCATGCCCTGAAATACCCCAGTTATTCAACAGCTTCCTTCACCTTTCAGTGTGTTAACAGTTTCAAAACAGTACAGTTTTTCTTACTAAAAGCCCTACATTCTGCCCATGCATTTACCCTGTTTGTCTTATTAAGCCAATCTTATTTGGAATATATTCAAGGGCACAAAAATGCTGCATACACGAGTGAGTTAGCTTATTTCAGCTCAAGTTCCTGCCTTTAAGGAGGAAATGGAAGTACTTGTCCTCCAAAGGATGGGGAATGTACACTGACAGTAATTGCTGCTATCTCCAGCACAAAACATAGCAAAATTATCTGTTCCTTCACAGCCCACCCACATAATTTGGGATTGTTTTGATAGCTCTAGTTAGTCTCCATAGAAGCTTGTGTTTAAAATAAAAAGATATGCACAGATAAACAGACTGCAAACAAATGTGAGACTTACGTATGATCCATAATTCACTGCTAGGGTCTGCAAAGCCCACGGGAGGCCTAGGCCGATTAAAATATCAAAAACATTGCTTCCAATGGAGTTGGACACGGCCATATCCCCCATACCTGCAGGAATGGAAACCACGTACACTCAGGCATGTCTCAGGAAAGCACACATGGCATATTCTGCATAAATCCACAGCACTGGATTTAAATTTGGCAAACAAACAAATAAACCAACAAGAATCAAACAGTGAATTTCGGGGAGGCTTCAAGTTGCTGACCATGCCATAGCTTGCTGCACACCATCACTAAGAACCCCTCAGCTGCTTTGCAATAGCAGCAAAATTCTTTTCCTTTGTGCTTGCCATCAACTTCAGCCTCAGGAAAAGAGCTCTGAATGTTTTTACATTGAGGACACACTTCTTAAAGAGGACAATGATGCACAGAAGCAACACAACAGCAGCCTGACATTTCAGTGATGAACCCACCTTGCCTTGCTACGATGAGGCTTGCCATGCAGTCTGGCACGCTGGTTCCTGCAGCCAAGAAAGTGATACCCATTATCACATCTGGAATTCCCAGCGTGTAGCCAATGATTGTCACCTAAGGAGTGAAACAGAACTGTCAGGTGGTTTATAAAGAAAAAATCAGAGAGCAGCTTGGGCCAGTTCTGCAAGATGCTGTGAGACAGCGCTTATTGCTCAGTGCAAACTGATGCTTTCTTTGAAGAGAAGCAGTGACAGGCTTTTTTCACTTCTATGTTTTTTGTATGTTCACCACCTGGCAGAGGAAAGCACTGACCTGCTATGCACTCTCTTTGATTAGCTGCTTTCCACCTTTCATCCACTATTCTCCTGACTCTAACCATGGTGGCTCACTGCCCTCTCTTAACAGACTTGCCCAAAGCTCACAGATTGTTATTGCATGCAAACAGCAGCTAAGATGACACTACATTCATGTTACATAAATGTTATATATAGGAACACGTATATCAGTGTCACTGCAAACAGTTCCTTTTGGCAGAGAGGAGATACTTATAAGCTGACTCAGACCATCATTTGTGCACCAGTGCAGAGCCCAAGCCAGGCCTCCCTTTCTTCCCTGATGCCAGTGCCTCATACTTCTGCTTAAGGCTACAGCCCAATTTTTCAAAGCTGACAAAAATTACTTATGTTGCCTTTCTTAGGCTGTTTTCTGCTTTAGTTGGTACATACCATCCACACCATCATGTAGGAGAAAGCTGCAATCCAGAGGGTAGAAGAAGCAAAGGTAACCATGAACCATTTCTCCAAGTGGGGTTTGTTACAGTTGGGCACTGTGAAATACAGCACAAAGCTCAACGGCCACGTGAAGAGCCACTTCAAGATTTCCATTTTGCCAGCTGTAAAACAGAAGATGGGAAACAATCATGATTCTAGTTAACACGTAGGTCGCTCTGAAAGTAATGCCTCCTATGGAAATGACAACAGATACAAAGAGGACAATGAAATCATTTGATAAGAGTAAATTCCCAGCTACAAAACACTGTTTTTCAACAGCCACCACCCATTTGCAATGCATTTTTGCCAGGGATGAACAACAGCCTGCGTTCTACGCTCAGAAAAATCTGCACAAGTGGAGGTGACCCACTGCTGCTGTTGTCACTGCTGAAACACACCACCCACTGCCTGTCTGTGCTACATCCACTGCTTGGTGTCATAACCATTCAGCAAGCATCAGTAAGTGTCACAGCTGTGCTTGTTTTTTCCTATCACATGGGTGGTGGTCAGACTGTGGAACAGTGAAAGACTGTGGGGATTCCCATCCTTGGAGCTAACTAACACTCAAGGGTGGATGCAGACTTTGGCGACCTGCTCTAGTAAGACCTCCTCTGAGCAGAAGTTTGAACCAGACAAGAGGTCCAGAGGTCACACCAACCTTTTCCATACTATAAATCAAGTGTCATTGTCCGTAGAACATCTAAATTATTATCTTTAAGGCTCAGCTTTTTCCCCCTGCTTGAACTACAGTTATATGTGGAGGTCTGAATAGGAGTTCCCAAAAACATGTATCACTTGGAAATGGCAGAAACAGTCCCTACAGTTTTCTGTCTTGTTTCCAACACCCTAGATCTCAACAGCTCTGGGATGACTCAAACGTAGGGCAGCCAATGGAACGAGATTGGTCTGCCCAGAGAGGGGCCCAGGTTTCCCCAGCAGAGGTTGCTGCCTTTCCCACAGACTGCAGTGGCAGGGCCAACACATGAGCTGCAGTTGAGCTGTACCAACCAGCCCAACACTCTGAGAGACACCTCATGCTTTCCAATTAACTGTTACCTGTGACCAGGAACTGAACTCTGAGGTACAGGTACAGACCCCAAAGTAGATATAAAGAACAAAATATTTTACAGTGAGGGTCATGAGGCATTGGAACAGGTGACGTAGTGTTGTGGTTGATGGCCTCAAGGAAGACAAGGGGAAGTCTCAAGGCTTTCAAGGCAAGGCTGAATAAGGCCCTGGGCAACCAGAACTAGCTTTTTCCCTGTTCACTGCAGGGAGTTGGACTAGATGGCCCTCAGAGGTCTCTTCCAGCTCTAAGGATTCTATGATTCTGTGCGTTCTGGCATACTCAAACTCAGTTTTGCTTTCTGGAACAACACAAACCCACAAGTTTCTTACTGGGTAGGTCAAAAGGTGTGTACGGCCCTTCATGGTCATCATCGTCATCATCTTCTTCCTCTTCCTCATCATTTTCATTGTTCTCATTATCCTCATTCTCATTCTCTGTCTCATTGCCAGCCTCAGCCACGTCCTCGTCTCGCCGTGTGCCATTCACGCCCCGCTCAGACGAGTTGCTTGGACCTGTTCCATTCTCCACAACGTGCTTGATAGGTATTTTGATTGCTACTTCTGATTCACCGTTGGTGTAAGTCCTGCTGTTGATCAGTCTTTGTCTCTGTTAATACCGACACAAATTCTTGTTCAAAGACAGATTTTTTAAAATGTAATGCTTGCTTTTTATTTTTTCTTCAAGAGAAGGGGAGGAACAGAGAGAAAGAGATGTGCAGAGTTCTATAAACACTTGGTTTTAAAAGCAAAAAGGGATGGATTTTGGTCATGCATAATGCAATAGCTGCTTGCAGGAACTAGAACACAACACACAGATATAGCTTTTATGAGATAAGGACCAGTAAGTGTTGAACTGACTGCAGGGATACAACAAGACAAGGGTCAGAAAGTGTAGTACCATCTTATAAAATAAAGATGTTAACAGCAGATCAGATGAATGCTGCAGGCATCTGCTGTGAGCAACAGCTACAGGGAGCATAACCACATAATGACTTGAAACTTTCTCTACTAAAATCTCCATGGGTACAGATAGCAAGGGATGATTTAGTATGGATGTCGTTAGAAGGATGGAACTGGGAAAAATGCACACAGGGATCCAAGAAAATCATAGAGGTCTATTTTGACCCGAATGCTGCCACAGGCAAGAGCAAATTCAGAATGAGAAAGGGGAAAAAAGAGAACAGACATACCTCATTGATGAGCATGCGGCTGGCCATGGAGAGACGTGTTTTGGGAGGAAAGTGGCTGGTTATCATGATCCGGAGCCCAGCCTCAGAAAATGAAAGCTGGTGTGGGTAAGCAGACAGCAGCTCATCCACCATGATCACTGAGGCTTTACGGTGGAAATTCCCTGCAACCAAGAAACAAAGAGAAGCTGAAGACTTTGCCTACCACCAGCCTCTTTCCATCATATATGGCACTCAGCAGAACAAATCTACAGGTTCTACAGGTCCTTTGTAAGAACCACTCCTTCAGCCACTCCACAGCCTCCTCTGTATTTAATTCCTGCCTTTACACAGCAGGTTTTATAAATAAATGACCAATACCGTATCTCCATTCATTCCCACTGATAGCAAATAAAATCTGTTCTGCACAGATCATTGTAGGCCTCTGTTAAACGGATCACTGCTTCAACAGTGGTCACTGCTGAGGTGAAGAAGTTGCTGCAATAAGGAAGTATTAATTCCACTATTATAATTTGCACTTGTGTGAGGATATTGGCCTCGTCCACCATCACCTCTGTGGGATGGGCCAAGAGTCCTTGGATTGAGACAGCAGAGGCAGGACTGGGACACAGCAGCAGGGAAACCCAAGATCTTTCCCAGCACAACTGGCAAATGTTTGTATTATCATCATCATTCTTAGTCCTACAGCAGAGCACCTCCACAGGCACTTTCTTTATTCTGAGGATGCTTCTATGGTTTGGGGTAGACATGCGGGTCACAAAATTCAAGAAGGCCAGACAGCTTTCCCTGGTGACTTTTTCACATTAGCATGTGCTGTGTACCACCGAAACCCTCCTGCTTTCTTCTTCGTGGTCTTCAGTTCAGAAAAGTGGAAGTTTGGAAAGCAAATGTAATTACTGGATGCCCTCAGCACTCTGACCAGTTGAAATCAGGGCTGTTTTTGACCCAGCTGCACCACTCACCCATCTGAGCCTGCAGAGGCCAAGTAAACATAGGAACAATCCTCAAGAAGATGAAGCAATCCTTTGGGCTTCCTTCCTCAGCCAGTTTAAGAAACCACAAGGTTTCAAGACCAAAATGTACCAGTCTGAGCAGTGTCATGCAAAGAGGCATTCTGGTGCAATTTAAACCAAATCCTACAATCAGAAATGCCTCATTTGTGTGCAGTCCTGAGGACACTGGGTAAACCTGACTTTATGCTTCTGCTTTCCCAGCCTAGTTGCACTGGTGCAGTATAGTTATCTTGCCAGCACAGTTTCACTGTTGAGATTCGAAGGCTACAGAAAGCTGTTCCAGTAACAGCAGCTTCCTCAAACCACAGCATACCATGCTCACAAAAGCTTTCCCTCTGCTCAGCAACAGGCAGTAATGTGATAGCAGGCATCTGGTAGACTCAAAGAGTCTGATGTCAGCAAGAAAAAACATCCACATTTCATGTTCAGTTGCTTGCTATATATATACTAAATCTTTCAATCACTTTTGTGGGAAAACAGCTGGTTTTGTTTGTCCTTTATGGAGTCAAGCAGAAGAAAAAGGGCAGCTTGTCTGTACACAGAGGCCAGGGCTGCTTTAAATAAGACACAACTCCTTCTCAGTGTAAAGCAGTGACTTGGGGAGTCTCTTATTGCTGAGGATAGGTGCATAATAATCCAACATTCACAACACGTGCTTGCTGCCTGCTGCAAAGACAAAGCGTGATCTGTTACACCCTGTGTATGCAGCTTAATTTGTGCTCACCAGTGCACACACTACTGCAGCTGAGCTATGGAAGCAATGATTTTTTTAGGCTAAGGAAATATAAGTGAGGCTTAAGGTGCACCTCCCTGCCTATGCCAGCGCTGAGCAGACGTGCCCAGCCCACAGTGCACAGCGGGCAGACAAACTTGTAAACACTCAGAACGATGCAAGCAAGCAGGGTGACTTACTGGAACAGTTACCTTTCTTTAGTAACACCACTGTGGCATCGCAGTTGCTGTTATCATCCATTTCCGTGTTATTTGCCAATCCGTTCACCATGTTTGCAGCGTTTTTTGTCTTCCTTTCCAAGCAGTGTTGTATGGTAGAGTTGTACCTGCAGAAATATAAGGAATTCTAGGTGTACCTTTGCTGCTTCTACGTGGATTTCTCAACGCTGCCTTTCCTACATTCAGTTCCTGGCTTTAAGGATGTCAAGGGATAGATAGCGTGCTCAGCTCCCACCAAACTGCACGCAGGGCAATGCCTCTGTTCCCAGAAGGCTTGGAAACGTGTCAGAAATCAATCATGAACAGAGCACATGTCTGTTTATCTACATGTCAGTAATATTCCCATAGCAAATAATGCTTACTCATCATTGTGCAAATTCATTTATTATCTGCAGTCACTCCTGAGTATGAGTGCTATTTTGCCTGCGAAAGCAAACCAGAGAAGTGTGAGACCACGTGCCAAGTTCTGGCCTTGACTTTGAAAAGAATTATATATAAAATAAATATATTTGCTTCTTATCTTATTTTGAATAACCAGGAACTGACATCTGCTGACATGAGCTCAGGATCTCACCACAAGACTCAAAAGGAAGGGTGGACCGTTGTGAGCACGTGGCTGAGGCCCCTATAACCACACCAACAGCCAGGAGGTCAGAAACATCTGTTCAAACTACAGCATCACTTTAAGAAAACAAATCCACTCTAGATTGAAACAGCACAGCTACCTGTTTTGTTGGCCAGTGTTGCAAGAATGAACCTGCCCTCCATATTAAAGTTTCTAATTACTAGAAGTAAGAGGAAATCTGACTTGTATTCTCTTCTACTGAGCTTGTTTTGCTGCTCTCACTGAGAATTGCTCTCCTAATATTTACTCTGTTCATCATTTCAAAACAAACTTCTACCCTTACTTGTTGAGAAAAGACCACTGGTGCGCTTGGTGGCTGGTAGGTTTTGTTTAATGTTCCAGCTTAAATCTGGGTGTCTTTTCCACTGGCTTTTAGAAACAGGGCAGGAGGAGGGGATTTGAGGAGCAGAACAGACCAGCTCCTCCAGCATCATCTGGTATGAAGGGAGCTATGCAGCTCAGATGCTCATGAAATCGGTGTTGATGCTCATGAAATGTGCTGCAGCTCTATTATGGGTCTCAGAGCAAAGAATAATGAAACACAGTGGGGTTTTGTGCCCACAAAAAGGTAGAGAGGAATCTCTTACTTCATGATAACAATGTAGATGGCATACATCAGCACCAAGACCAAGGACTCCCACCTGCAAACAGAAGGAACACAAAGTGCATCAGAGCAGGACCTGGTGCTGAGCTCCTGCTGCCTGCTATGTACTGAAATTCATGGGTTATGTTCTCGTTTGGGATTTTGGCACCTCGCACTAAGCATGCCAAACCTCACTCCTGGCAGTTCAACACTCAGCTTCCTCATCGATGGGTTTGAGTGGGGCACGGTCAAATGCAATTGGGTCTCCAGTCAATTTCAGTTAAAAACAAAACAAAATGAAAATGAGCCATTGCAAAACTCAGCGTTTCAGAAATCCTCTGAAATTAAACACAAATCCCCCAGTAAGAAAGAGTGTCAGAAAACACACAACCCAAGCAACCTGACTCCCCCTAGTGCTTGTGATCTAAATAACGCTGGCTGAGGGAAAACAAAGCTACCGCAGTCACTCTCCCAGCTGTGCTGAAACACCACGATCTCAGCAAAACTTTTGATTCTCAAACCCCTTCTCTTCCCACGAACCCTGTGTAGGGCAGCTTTTGTGGTGTAAACAGGAAAAACGAGCAAGAAATATAACCAGATTCACTTACCAGGAAACCTTTTCGTCGTAAATAAACTGTGGAGGGAAGATTAAAAAAGAAGCGTGTTAAACAAGAAATGCATGACAGCATGCACCAAGGCTGCAAGCCAAGCCCCCAGCAGGTGGCAGAGGGGACAGAGCAACCTAAGGCCTGGGGCAGTGGCATTAGGCTCTCTTCTGTCTCCCTGGGAACCTCTCAGCTCTCAAGTTTCTCCCACCTAGAAAAGCAGAGCAGCATTCCTCCCTAAAGCCCACAGGGTCCTGTGGAACCGGCGCTGAGCTGAAGAGGTGACAGGGCAACAGGTGACCTGGAGGAGCTGCACCAGCTGGTCTCAGCAGAGATACTGCCATCCCTCTGTGCTGTCCTTTAGCAGCAGCTGGGCTGTAGGTGTGCAGATTCACAGCCACTTCCACACCTGGTGTCAATGACAGGGGCTCCAACAACACTGAAAACCAGCCCCAGGGCACGATTTCCTTACAAGCTAAGCTTGAGACTCTTAACAAGCACTGTTAGAGTCCTGTCTGTACATCTGAAGGTTTCCTCGTGATGCTGTGCTCCTGGGGAAGGAGTGATATCTTTCTCCTGCATGTTTAAGATGCCGTGTGTTGGGGAATACCAACACTGTGCCATGGATTCCAAGGGGTTCACACCATTCTAACCAGCCTTGGCTTTTGGGGTTTGAAGAGGCAGTTAGGAGTGTTAGGAGGTCACCAGCAGATGGCCGTCATGTTCCACCGCTGAATTCACCAGCACCAGCAGATGCTGGAAGCAGACAGGATTGCTGCGGTGGCCTTGCTGGCAGCATCCCTCACTCTGCTTCTCTTTCCATCTCCAGTGGGCCTCCAAGTGAGCTGTGCTCTAGCTGCCAGTCCCAGAGCTGGGGATGCTGAGCCTGGCTCATGCTGCAGCCACAGTGGGAAGGGCAGGGCTAGGGCAAGGATGCTCACGAGTGGTCCAGCGGTCCTACAGCCTTGGGCTGCACCCAGTGGACCAGGTGCCAGCTGGCAAGGCTCTTGCTGCCCACTTGGTCCTTCCTAGCACCTTCACCTGCTTTCAGCTCAGTGCTGTATGAAGGAGTGGAAGCGCTGTGTATGCCACTAGGAAAACACACCCAGAGCAGCGGTGGAGAAAACCAAGGGAAAGGAAATGGGCTTTAGAAATTGCAACAAAACGCTTCCCTGAAGCTAAAGAGCCTGTAAATAGCAACTTGTGTTTGATAGAGCAGCAAACAATAGCTGTATTTGTTACTGGAAGAACACATGACAGCAAGACATTATGCATGCTATAAGTCACAGCCCCAGTCATGGTGATCTAATCTGACAACAGCTATTTTAGGTTGCACTGTGTTGGTGTGGCAGGGCACGAAAGCTTGTGCATTGACCTTTGTGATTAAAAATAGCACCCATCCCACTTCTTTCACTAATGACAATGACCGCGTCCTTTCGAGTTAGGAAACACTGGGATCTTTTTTCTTTCAAAGGAAAGAAGGAGTAACAGTTCTTGCCAAGCTTTAAAAGAAGACCAGCTTTGTAATATAATTTTAAGGTAAAAAAAAAAAATAATCATACAGCTCAATCAACACGAGCTAACAGTGATAAAGAAAGTTGGCCCACTTCTAACTGCTGTGATGTGGAGCTCACTCACTCTTATCAGCTGGCACGGAGCACCAAAGAGGTGAGTTTGCTGCTCTGCGATTTCTTACTGCAGCACTGTGAATCCTTTGCTGGTTGAAATGGAAGGAGATAAACTCACGTGGATTTACCCGGCACAATTTTAAGCTGCTGCATTTCAGTGTTGGCAGGAATGTATTTATCTCTTCTCAGGTGTATTTATGATTAGCAAAGGCACCTGTGGAGTGTAGCTCATATGAGAGCAGCACAAGCTGCTCTTCAAAATAACGTAAGCTCAATCTTCTACAAAGCAATATTATCCTTCAAGAAAGATGATTATATTCTGGCTGCAGCAGAGTCTCAATGCCCCAGCACTATTATCCCTATATAGTGAAGTGTTTAAATGCTTCCTAAAATGTAAGGCCCATAAAAGTCTAACAAATGAGAAAACAGAGTGCAAGTTGTGCTGCGCTCTGCACAGAGCCAGCAGCATGCCTGCCAAAGGAGAAATGGGGGACTGGAGAGGCAGAATCCAAATATCAACATGCTGACATCTTCTTTTGATTCTACCTTAAAAGGAGATAAAGGATCTGAACCGCTGTAAAGCCTGGGGTCCTTAGCTAAATGATGGAGAGGAGAAAAAATTCTTGAAGTGAAGCAGTGTTTGGACTCTGAAAGGAGAATCCTTTTGCCATCTTCTGAGGAGGAATGCTACGTAGGACAGGGTTGCTAAATCCCTCGGGAGCTAAATCTTTAATCACTTAAAATGTTCTCTCTTCTTCTAATTTATCTCCGTTTTTCTCTAACAGGTGTTTAAAAAGCCTGTGCAGTGATTGCTGTGGAGTAATGCTGAAGAGATGGGGGCCTGTTCCACATCTCCCAAGCCACAGTTGGCCATGAAGTGCTTTGACATCCGCATCGCAGCTCTGGCAATGCCTCCAAGCCCTACTCTTGCTGCACAAAGGACCTTGAACCTCTTCAGGTCTAAAAAGTTACAGTTCTCTGATATTATGGGGTATAGTTCCAAAAGAAAAGGATTTCTGCAGTTCTGTAATGCCTGTATGAAACACCCAATCCAAACAAGTGGCCAAACGGCAGGCAACTGCCCACATCTGTGCTTTCCTTGGAGTAAACTAAGGGAATCATACTGCAGAATCATAGAATGGCCTGGGTTGCAAAGGAGCACAGTGCTCATCAAGCTCCAACCCCCTGCTGTGTGCAGGTCACCAACCAGCAGCCCAGGCTGCCCAGAGCCACATCCAGCCTGGCCTTGAATGCCTGCAGGGATGGGGCATCCACAGCCTCCTTGGGCAGCCTGTTCCAGTGCCTCACCACCCTGTGTGAAAAACTTCCTCCTCATATCTAACCTAAACCTCCCCTGTCTCAGTTTAAGACCATTCCCCCCATCCTATCACTATCCACCTAACACCTGCTAGATGTCTTTACGCTCATGCAGTGTCATCTATTACAATTAGTGGATGTGGTGGAGTTCGTTGGTCAGGAAGTTTTTGGTATGATGCTACTTGTCAAGCAAAAATAAAAGATTTTAGTTTTGCAGCTCATTACTAATAGCTAGGCAGCTCTAATTCTAGCAACGGCATTGATGCATACATTAGATTGAAGACCTTGCAGAACAAAAGCACAAAGAGCTTAAGGCAAACCCTCTATGTGAGGTTAGAGACATAGGCCTTTGTGCCTATAGAAAATGCACACGGCATATGGACGTTTGACGAGCGAAGGCAAAACAAAGCACACCATGTCTAAGAAAAACTGCATAAACTTCAGAAATGCAAGTGTTCATCTTCTGACTCCGTGTTCCCTTCTTCTCGTTTACATATGGGAATTAGCCTCACAAAATCTCTTCCTTTCTTGAGGAATGTACAGTCCTAGACTATATGCCCAAGTAAAGAAATATATATACGTATATACATACACAAAGTAGTAACTGTTACCAGGAAAGACAATTTTTGCATATCCTGACCTTGATATTTCTTCATCTCTTACCCTTTGGCCATGTTTTTCTACAGAACCACGGAGACCACACGTTCATTTTTCCATGGACAGAAAAACCACATGGAGCGAGAACCTTAGCTACAAAACTTTGGTTTCTTAGTGAGATCCCTCTACAGCAGACATGTGGGGTCCCACAGAAGAATAACATGCACAACAGCCTTTGGGAACTTACCACAATGAGTGCAACAACAGACAGTGTATAGTAGATTGAATCTCTCAAGAGACTCCATGATGACAGTGCAACAACCTGGGAAAAGAGGCAAAGAGAGGACGTCAGGCAGGCCCAGGTGTAAGCCACAGGAAGGCAGATGATGGGGGCTAATTTACACCATTCTGAATTGACCTCTGAATTTATCAGTGTTTTTCCTGACCACATCCTCCAGTCATGCTCGTGCACGGAAATCAGCCAAGCAAACAGAAAGTTCATTCTCCTTTCTGTCTACAAAAATGTCTGATTTCAGAGTGTTATCAATGTACAGTTTCCCAGATTTCTCTGCTTGTTACAATACTGTAACTGTCCTGACAGCTTGCAAAACAAATAGCATAAAAAGATATTGACCATCAGGCTTTAAAATCTCCATGGCCTCTTAACGCTAACGTGGATGTAATTCATGTCCAGTGCAAAGTCTTTACGGAAACACTGACATGTGAGAAATTCTCATGTAAGAAAAAGATACCCCCAAAACAATAAAAAAAAACAAAACAAAACCCCTTGAAGTCCTTGAGTCAGATTAGATTTACACAGGCTGACAGCACGCATCTCTGTGTGTAAGGATAGATGAATGGAGATGCTTTATGACGGATATTTCCAAATGTAGAAACCTGGAGTTAGGTTCATAATTGTGTTCAGAGACCTTTAATTAAATCTTACAGATAGTGAACTCCTTCCTTTTGATTGAGCATTGCGTTGAGCACTGATTGAGCACTGCGAGATAGTTTATAAAACTTGAGATTACTCCAATCGCCTTTTACAGCACTATTTAAGGTCCTACATTCCTTTCTGAGCACAGATAATGCCTTTCTCCTAGGGAAATTTCCTCCAACACCTGAGTGAACACATCAACAGCCAGGCCTTCAAATACAGCTATCCATCAGGGATCTAGTGCACAAAGGTCATCGACCAGGACACCAGGGCATCACAGACTCCTGCTCTGATTTCAGATTGGACTGAAGGCAACATGCTGCTGCCTGGGACTCCTACAAACTGCTCACATGCCACAGACGTTCTAGTAGCTGTCCCTCATGTGTAAATATGGGCAATAAAAGCCCAGGTCTCCTGAGAGGGTCGAGTCATTGAAGTGAAGTCTTCGAGCCATTTGATCACTGGGAAGAAGAATTTGTCAGAGGGAAGCCTTGCACATGAAGTAACCACGTACCCAGGCTAAAAGGAGCTAATTAGCACAGAGGGAAACAGCAGCACTTTCAGCCTGCTGACAGGAATTTTGTAGTCTCGTTGTAACTGTCAAGACCTTGAAGACACAAGTCATGCTATTCAGTCTTGCAGCAGCCAAGGGCTGCATGTAAATCTTAATGCATTGCAACCCTCCTAAATCACCATTAAGCAGATCACAACTAAGGCAGAAAGGAAATCAGGGAAGCAATCAGCTTGGGTAAAAACACAATGAAATTTAAGAGTTTGGAATCAGCAACAGCAGAAGCCAGAGGAAAGGGGAGCCAAGCACCAAGAGACAGCTGTAGAAAAACACTGATCGTTTCCTCCATTCAAAGGAAGCACACAAAATCCAGCCCCCAGACACGAGCCCAGGAGCCCTCACTTAACTACAGCACTGGGGACTAAATCTGGCCTCTCCAGAGCAGAAAGCAAGAGCTCTTCCATGTGAGATTCAGTGAGAGCAACTTCCCATGACCAGACGAGGCAAAGGCCCTATAGCACACACTCACCTGCACACTGCACTGGTGTTCCTATAGGTAAAACATGTCTCAGATTAGAAACGGGGTTTCTCACTGTTAACTCTCACCCTGCAAACTGCTATGTGTAACATTTACTGCACAGAACATTGATTTCCCTTTTTGAAGGGCTGGAAAGAGCAGGGTGCCCAGAGCCTCGGTGGCAATGTATCCCAGGCTGGGGCTTCACCATTCACCCTCTATAAAATTGACCCTTCTCTTCTGCTCTTCCAAATTATTTCTCTTCTCCTAACCATGCAGACACCCCTCTGCCAGCATCTTCCATCCAGAAGAGACATGGTGACAGAGGCCATCGAGTTGGCTGTCTAAAGGCTATGTGCCTGTTCTCCCCATTGCCCACAGCAGACAAGGAGCGGTGCTTTTCCTTTGCTGTGAGCAGTGTGCTGTCTTTCTTTGCACTGTGGCTTATTGCAAACATCATGCAGATCGTGCAGGTCTTTTTTTATTATTATTTTAAATTAACGTTTCAAATCAGACTTTTCATTTCAAGCAAGCTGGTAAAGATGAGCCTCAATCCCAACCGCGGTCACGTGGGTACCAATGGGAGCATTACAAAAGTCAGCTCTGAGGGCTTTCCTAAAAATGCTCACTAACCTGATGGCAACGCAGAAGGAGAGTGTGTATTCTTTTCATACAGAGGACCAGCCTGTCCCCCAGCTTTGTGGAGGAGATGCAGAGCTCACGTACAAACTGCTGATAGCACTCCCATGGGTAGGTGTGCTTGCTCTCTCTTTTCTTCCCAGAGGAGGGACTCGCAGCGCTGCTGTGCCCTTTCTCCTTCGTGCAGTACCACAAAGTGCATTGCTTTTGCCTGTTTTCCTCCTGCTCCTCACACTGAAATTGCTCCAAAAGTCACGGCTTTCCACGCAGTTCAAAGCAGGACAATGTGAGCAAGGTACCTGCCAGAATAAACTGAGACAGCCTTACCTGGCAATGCAGGTAAGAACGGGCTAAGAAAGCAAGCAGCAAACACCAGCCTTGTACTTGACAAGCCACTCAAAAGAGCTGCAGAATCTATGGGAAGCAACCAACCCAGTTGCTCCACGGCACGGTTAAACTTCCTGTTTACGCAGGAAGGGTAACACCACAAAAGCAGTTACAAACCCACATCATTTCATCATGCAAAAGCCTTTGCACTGCTTCCCATCCTGAAATCTGCCTTTGTGCTACTGTGAACAAACTCAGAAATTACCGTCAGCACTTCCCATGTCTCTTTTCCCCGTATCTACAATCAGCACAACCAACTCTTGGTTTGTCAGCCACAGGAACTCAACGGCAGCAGCCCAGGCATGATATTCAGCTGGAACAAAGCATTTGTTGCAGTAACATAATTCCTATGGGTCTTTCAGGAAGAGAATTACCTTCAGTCCACTGTGAAATCCCCATCTCACAAGGGGCTTCTTTGTCAGTAATTGCACAAGCAATAATAGCATCACTAGCACCATTTTGCTTGCTCTACGTGAATATAAATGGAAGATGCATTAGGAATAAATAGCATTACTGGATCTGAATGGCCTTATGGAAATCCAATCCATCATCCTGAAATCACAGCTGCAAAAATTAAAATAATCTCCACCACACAATCTTCATTTTCTCCACCAGGTACTTGTGAGAGAAAGAAATGATGCGGGAAGACACAGCAAACCTGCCCACAAGGACATATCCTTGTGTGCCACACTGTTATGCCATGGATTGGACTGTGCTACATTTGCAGAATTCTAGTTATGTGCCATCATATGTCATCTGTGCCAGGTCTGGGTAGAAATAAGAAAATCTGCTCCATCATGCTCAGGAAAAATGCAGTAGGTTCAACTGCATTTTACAGTTAAATACAGACTAAGGTTCATTCAAATCTCAAAGTCACAGCAATTAAGGAGGTATTCTTACAGTTCCTACAAACTGGCACTTAAAAATCATGGAGCTTTTCTAGAGCCTGGACAAACCTGTGGGGCAGTTTCTTGAGCCTTTGCTTTGTTATGTACATCAGCAGCAAAGACACAAAGCTGCCGTGTGCCATTGAGGTGATTCCTCTCCCACAGGCAGCTCTCCTGATAGAGCTGAGCATCACTGCATATCTCTGGTGAATCTGTCAAAGGCCTCAACCTCTGGGACAGCCTTGTGAGCCTTCATCTCCCAGGGGACATTTCCCTTGACAAAGCACAGGCCTTCCACTTTGCCATTTATTACTTTAGGATGTCCCTGCTTGGCTCCAGTAATTGCAGAGATCCCGCCACCTGCCTGTTCACCACCACTGGTCACAGCATCAATGAAGCATCCTATATTAATGTGAGACAGTGGCACTGCTTCATCTGTATTCCTCCCTGTATTAAGCTATGCAACCTGACTTCCAGCAAGGAGTCACTCGAGTGCCTCCATGCATTTCTTGGGAGGCACATCCCCACGTGTTAAGACTGAAGAGGAGGGCAAGTCTGGAAAGGAAGGTGTCTGCTTGGAACTGAAGCAATTCCTTGTCTTGCCCCAAGCCCTATGGTCTAAGCTCAGGTGAACTGAGCAAGCAATATCCTTTCTTTGTATAGGGCATAAAGGAACATTTTTACCCAGCAGCAGCACCAGAGAACAAATGGACACAAATGGGACTGAACGAGATTGCAGGCTCAATTTCACCAGCATCATTCCCACAGCAAAATGTGAGTTGAGCCTGAGCCAAAGGGCACTGAGCCCTATTTAAAACCCTATAGTATATATATACTATATACTACATACTATATATATATATATAGGTTTACGATACAGGGCACTGAGCCCTATGAAAACTCTATTTCCTGGACTGGCTGGTGCTCTGCAGGCAGGTCCTCCTGCACAGCCCTCAGCAAAGGGAGTGCTACAGATTACATCTGTGGCTCAAAGGCTGCAGACTGTGTGCACTTCGAAAGGTCACAACCAAAAATAAGACGAGAAATAGCAACTCTGTGTTTAACATTCTGCACACGCTTGCTCTCAATCTTGATCTTAAACGTATCACTCTTAGAGCAATCACAATGAAGATACAAGGCAGGAAGGAATTTCGTAAGATAATTACCACCATCTTCCACAGAGCTTGTAACTGCCTAACTATCAGGACCTGCAAGTTAATTTTCACGTAACTTGCCTTATTTTGGGAATTATGTCCCACTTGCAATGAGCAATCAGTCGATCAGAAGCTTATAATCATTAGCTGTAAAACAAACAGCAAACATCACAGGGTGCAAGTTCCCCCCCCAGCCAGACACAAACAGAACCTGTGAGTCAGGCACACTTATTCCCTCTTTCCGGAGGGAAAAGAAACACAGGTGAGAGCAGGGTCTGAACATCTCCGGA